AGGTATCAATTTCTTAACATGAAAAAAAATTAATTTCTTCAAACAAACATACATACATATGCCGCTAAAGAACAACTGTATTTTATTTATTTTCGGTGAGAAAGCAAAAGTAAGTAAATCGGATGATACTTTATGTGCCACCTTGTATAAAAACCATGCTCAGCTCACCAAATATTTCCGAATATTTTCTTTCGATTACGAAATTGTACAAAAATAAAACCATCCAAATACCAATGTGCATTGTCATTTGCACGTAAAACTTCAAGAGTTTGGCAAATTGCTTCACTTAAAGTTGCCGGTGTGACTCTGCTATAAATTCTTTAGATACATGATATTTTAATTCTTTGCCATGCACGCGATTTTACACTACCCCTCCATGAGAATGTGCAATTAATGGCTTATATGTCGCGCCTATAAGCTGACTATAAATTTAACTAACAATAAGTAGAAATTCCAAAACTCTTTAAGTTTTGAGTTATTTAAGAATACATACATACATACATACATAGAAATGCAGTGACAAAAGCATTCAGACATTCATACATGTATACGCATTCTGACTTTCATTTGTTTTTGCAAGAAAATCAATAAAAAGAAAATCTCAAACATGGTCAAGTTGGCAAGTGAAGTATTTCCGTGTGCTGCTGTTTTTATTGTAGTTGGTGGAAAGCAAGTTGCAGGATGGTTGCGGTTTTAGCTAGAGCGGAGCGAAAGTTAATTTCTAGTTAGTTATTGTGGCACAAATTACCAACTATTTTGGCTTGAAATGTCTTTGGAGCAAATTAAAAAAGAAAATTATAATGGACTCTGAATACACCATGCGATAGTAAATTTTACACACAAAAGAAACAATATACTCGCGAAACTATGGGTAAATTACAGTAAAACTGCATACTTAGTTTTTCTCTGGTCAGGTCAGGGATTTATTTAAAAGGACTTTGAAATTCAAAAATTCGGCGCAATGTAGGATAACAATAAGGGTGTCATATAAAAGAAAAAATTCTGTACAATTATAACAGAAAAAATTTTTTCGGTGCATATGGACGAATGGGTAAAGAAAATGTCCTTTAAAAATTTTGTTCTTAAATATCCTTGAAAATTTTGAATATTTATTTTTTTTTTAATTATTGTTTGAGGACTAATATACGCCCGACCTCACCATCATTGAATTTCGTCCTGCAAAATCTATTAACTTAAAAATATAAAATTTATTAAAATATCCTTGAAAATTTTCAATATTTTTTTTTTAATTATTGTTTGAGGACTAATATACGCACGATCTCATCATCATTGAATTTCGTCCTGCAAAATTTATTAACTTAAAAATATAAAATTTATTAAAAGCGCATTTTCAATACCTGCTGGGTTTTATTACTGGAAATCTGTGTGAAGAGAAACAGGGTTCTCCGATCGAAAAATGTTGATTTTCGAGAATTCTATACCATTTCTACCAAAAGTGTCAATATTTTCCATATCAAATACATGGAAAACTTTGAGCATTTTAAGAAACCTCTAAATATTTTTTGATTTCAAAATAAAACAATAGAGGTATATTTTTTCGTTATAGAACAATCCTAGGGCGTGAGAGCATACAAATTCCGACTTTATACAAATATATTTAAGATAAAAATAACATGAACGCCTACAAGTCAGTTGATGGTCTTTAATAGTATGTAACACCTCATACGCGTCGTGCTCATGTGGGTCAAATGCATCGGATAACACAAATACATACACATATGTATGTATGTATGTATATGAATGTGTTGTCAATACGTATATGCAAGTGAGTAGCTGACGTTAAAAGCAAACTTGTTTTATTTTAAATTTCAAACAAATAAACACAAATGTTGTAATCATAAAATCTCATGTGCATTTTACAAGAATAGAAATTGCAACTTTTGTTATCGGATATGAATCGGTGTGTATGTTAATACACTTATGTATAGTTTATTGCTTATCAGATGCATATTGTAGTTTATTAACACAACATGCATTAAGTTTCGACAACTTAAAATACATACTTATGTACTTACAATCTGGTGTAACGTAAAATATATACTCTACACCAGTGTTCATAGTATATGTATGTAGGTATATGTAAATACATATATATTACATATATTCTAGTGACCCAGTTTCGAGTGCAGTGGCGGATAAAATAATAACTTGTATAATAACATGTATGTAAGTATACCTTTTGTTTTCGATGATGTGTTTACATATTTATGTATGTATGTACATATGTACACGTACTATTTAAATACGCATTTGTATACTTAGGGCCATTTTCTCAAGTAAGCTGTAACTTTAAAGCTCACTTTATATTGAAAGGTTGCATTAAAATGTGTGATTGTGTCTACAACCAAAAAAACTTATATACATACGTCAAAAACCGATAATAGAAATGCTAAATTTTAGTCATAGGTTTATTTTTAATCCAACCTTTGAATAAAAAGTGAGCTTTAAGGTTAAAGGTTACTTCAGAGAACGGCCATTACGATGCAATTTGTTTACATTCATTTGTAAAAACTTACCTTAAATAACAGTTATTTTTTTAACAATTAAAATTGGCGAGCTATTTTTGAGTCCAAAATAAAAGTCTTTTCCTATTAATAAACAAACTGTTTATCCAAATGAAACAAGTTTGGTATGAACTGAAAGAGTACTAAAATAGCTTTAAAACTGAAATGTTTAAACGAGGAAAGACAGCGGGAAACAGCCATTGAAAAATATTTCAATAAAAAATATTATTTAACAAATCTCAAAAGAAGTGGTAAGCTTCGTTCGTTATTTCTGTTTAAAAGCTATTTAAGTCCTCTTTCATTTGATACCAAATTTGTTTAATTTGGATAAGCGGTATGTTTACTACTTTTATTTTCTTATCACACAGAGAGAAAAAAAGTGGTTGTAGTTTTTTTGCGACTGATCCAGCAGTCATATCGGCCTAGTCAAATTCTATGCACAAAATGCACGTACATACATACACATACTACTTTCGTACTCACAATTTTTGGTTACTTTGGTATGTGCACTTCACTGCGGAATTATTATTACTGGTCATGCATATGGATGTTAAATTACCGTTGTGTCAATTGCACATTTTTTCCGCTTGCACTTAAACATGTTGCATACTTTTTGGCACGCTTCAGTGTTCCAGTAGGAAATCAAATACTTTTAATAGAAAGGCCACGGCCACGTCAAAGCGCTTAGCAGTTTTAGGAAAGTGTATTAATTGCTGGACGGCAAAAAACTTAGGTGAACTTCTCAGGGCATTCCCGTTTAAAGCTAAGAATCCAGCTCTCAAGAAAAAATCACAAGAATTATTTTCCATTATTTCTGTTGCTTGAAACAAAAAAAAACACTTTGCTTTTGCTATAAATTTTCTTGAAGAACTAAATGTACGAACATTTGTTTCTTGAGAGCTGAAAACTGATTTAAGAAAATTTGATAAAAGAAAATTTTTTTTCCGTTTCTTGCGCGCAATTTTATATGCAATTTTTGTTTTTCTTGAGAGCTGGAAACAGCCCTTAAGGGAAAAATATATTTGTTAAATCTTTCGCCTTTTTGTTTTACAATTGTTTTCGTATTTACAAACTTACCACTCATCACCTTTTATCCACTGCTTAATAGTAAGACATGCTAGTAGAAGGACCTTCCAATGCCTGCTGCCACAGCTGTGGTGATGATGTAGTATTTGAAGATATTGGGTTTGTTAGCGATATTTTTTACCGATTTTGTTATCGATATTTATCGAATTTGTTATCGATATTT